TTGGTTGCGTCCATTAATGAGCAGATTGTCTGTCTGACAGCGGTGATAAACAAAAGATGAGGTTGAAAGCCACGAAGGTGGAGCAAATACTGCTGATTATTTAGAAATTAGTGATACTGAATGTTTACTGTTCACATCATAGACTTTCTGAAAGGCCTGCTAACGGGGTGGTGTCGTTGTCCAAGTTTAGGTTGAGTTTCCAGCGCCGTCTCTGAGCTGTTGTTGGTTTAACTGCTGCAGTTTGCAACGTTCATCACTTGGCAAAGCCTGAATGTGCTTCTCTGCATTCCTGTAATGGTGTCTTTCTCTGCCAGGTGAGCGGGCCGATCCCTGTAAGTTCCAGGCCTGTAACGAGTTCTCCAGGTGTAAGGTGAATCAGTGGTCGGGGGAGGCGGAGTGCGTGTGTGACCCAGGCTACATAAGCATCGACGGCTTGCCGTGTCAGAGCATCTGTGACGTCCAACACGACTTCTGCCTCAATGATGGCAAATGTGACATCATTTCTGGAAAGGGCGCCATCTGCAGGTAGAAGGGGGGGTCGGTCAAAAGGAAACACCTTACAGTGGTCATGTTAACGCTGTTCTTTAGAGCTTTCTACCACTCAGTGTTTATTTGAATCTTATTTACATTATTAGCAATTTACATCTTTTAGCATAAAAAATGAAGAAATAAAATGAGGGATATTTTCTCATTTCATCTGGTTAATACCTGTGATTGTAGATATAGTAGTACAGATAGTAGTAATAGTTTACAGGTAGTATTTTATAAAGTATGACTCCTGTGGATCTGTTCTAGTATAGAATGGATATCTAGTCTAACTGAAACTCAGGATTTCAAACGATTGTATTTGGATTAAAAGGCGTCTAAGCAGAAGTGGATCTATGAGGGAATACTTGAACGAGTCCAAGTCCTGTTCTTGGCTGCAGGTGTCGAGTTGGGGAGAACTGGTGGTACCGCGGGGAGCACTGTGAGGAGTATGTCTCAGAGCCGTTGGTGGTGGGCATCGCTATCGCCTCGGTAGCTGGTTTCCTGTTGGTGGCTGGTGGGATCATCTTCTTCCTGGCCAGAACCCTCAGAGAACAGTATGATGGCGAAGACACCGAGGACCCGCTAAGGTGGACCCAACTCTGGATTTTAGCAGCTAATTTAATCTGACATTTTCCCTGAAATCAAACGTTGATCTTCTCCCTGTTTAGACGGCATGAGAGTCTTCCAACTTTGGAGCGAGCCACAAAGTTCAACCCAATGTTTGAGAGCGACCCAGTTACCTCTCAGTACTACCGTCGCTATGACGACGGCCTGCCCCAGTACCACCAGTGCCGTGACTCAACCCAGCCCCAGTACAGCTCTTCAGTCCTGAACAGAGAAGAAATAGTCACCATCAGCCAAAACCCAACCCTGTCTAAAGAGGTAACCTCCCTGTGGAATCCCTCAGTAGGTGGAGAGACGTGCCTCTAATAAAGATTGGAAAGTATTTAATAAAGTAACTGACGGTTAAAATATTACCTCTAGGCTGTAAATGTCTTTGTTTAGAGATGAGATGTTTGACTCAGGATGGAGGTTCTCCATCTGAACCTTCGTCCTGAGGGGGGGGTTGGTTTCCTCCACCTTTCCTCAATCAATTAATCAATCAATTTCTTTATTGTCAACTACAATTTACATTGCAATCAAGATTTCAGTTTCAGTACAAGCATCACATGCATTGGGGTGGGGGGGATCTGAGAGGGACGGCTTACTGAGGCCATACGTGCCGCAAAACATGGCCTTTGGCGCGTTCTAATGGCTGCCGACGTTTATCAACAGTTCTGGGCGTAGGTAGGGGGGGGGGGGGGGGGGGGGGGCAGTTCTCGTCCTTCAGCCATAACATCCCGGGGAGATTTGATCAGGTTGAGGTCGAATCCAGAATAACCCTCATTGTTTTGAGAGCAGGCTGCTCAATTTCAGTCAGCTTTGAGTCTTTTCTTGCTGGCTCTTCGTGGCGAGTCCAATTTTCCAAATGTGTTGAGATTTTCCGCCTTGAAGCGAGCGTGCACATCCAAGATAATATCTGATCTCACCTTTTAGTTCAACCACCGCAGCCAGCCTGCGTTCGATCGCACCCAGCATACGGCTCAGCTGCTCGTTCACAGCCTCTGTGAGGTCATCAACCGCTGCCGGCAGCCTGATCAATCCTCTGTAATTAAAGATACATCAGGTATCCTCTAAATCCAAACAGGAGAAATCCGAGTATCATAAATCCAAATATCCACACATCTTTGATATCCTCCAGTGACGGCGTTGTGAAACACACCATCCTCCAAGCCTTCCAGGAGTCCATGGTGTTTCCCATCAAGTATGTCCCAGCAGGATGGGACTGGTCCCCTTTTCCCAGTCTGCCAGTTTAGAACATTTGATCAATTGCATTTAGAGACCAGCTGACCGGTTCCATTGTTTGAGTTCAGGTGAAATGAAGCCTAGAAACAGCAAAGCAGGGACAGAGCAGGGAGGACCAGGAGCAGCAGGAGGACCAGGAGCAGCAGGAGGACCAGGAGCAGCAGGAGGACCAGGAGGACCAGGAGCAGCAGGGAAATGGGACCGCCTCCTTTAAGAGTCAGAACAGAAAGGAAGGACTGAGTCAGAATTCAGTTTCCTCCACCTGAACCTCCATCCTGAGGTTGGGTATTTGGTTTCCTCTGTGGCTCCTTCCTCCAGAGGGCGCTGATAAGCCGGCGGTCTTCACCTCCTCCTGGAGCTCTGGCTCTACTTTCTTACTTTAATGGAGGGATTTGGACTCTCCAGGCTTAGCCGACCCAATGCTGTGACCTTTCTTTGGCTCAGACGTTTTCAGGCTCAGCAGGATGTTTGTACTATGCTGATCAGTATTTTGCTCTTATGTAAACTTGAACTCAGAACATCACCTTTGACCTCTCTGCAGGAGATCCAGGAGCGTCTCAGAATAATCGAGCTGTGCTCCAGAGATCAACGCTTTGCAGAGTTTGTCAGGCAGACACAAGTGTGAGTCCTCCTTAAATGTTCAAAATAAAGTTTTCTAACCTTTGCTGAACAGGTAGGGATAATATTTGAATGTTTACTATAGAAAATGTTTGTTAAATAACTTAAAAGCTGTCTTAATAAATAATAAATCCAGAAGTAGTTTTATTTATTAGGCAAGTCTAAGCTGTTCAAGTGTTAGAGAGAAAAAAAAATAAAATCTAACAATTAGCAGAGTCTTAAGACTGAAGCTTGGAAGCAGAAAGACCTCCATCAAGCAGAACTTTAGCTAAAACTCACACATGATCTGGATCATCACCAAAATGGAAAAGCTTGTTTCACATCTGATGAAAATATTATCAACATCGGTTCTTAACTTTTTTTGTTATTTTGGAACTAGACAAACAGATGCTGATGAAAACATGAGCTCCTTAGCAGAGCTAATAGCTGCAACATCTAAAGAAAATGATAATAATGTTGAATATCTGCTGAACATCCTGATGAATGACAACAAAACGTGAGAGAAATCAAATCATTGGATTCAGAGAGCAACTGAACTCCACCAGGTTTTTGGTTTTATTGTAAACTGTTGAAGCAGCAGAGGGTCTGGAGATCCTCAGTCTTCCACTCATCAACTAACCCAACCTGACATCTTCGCTCCATCCATCCTCTACTTGTGTTTCTGCATGAAAACAGCAAAAAGCAGCAAACTAATCCTGTTTTTCCTGTTGATGGCGTAGATTCCTGGAGAGGAGAGGAAGCTCTACGACGTAACCTGGCCTCCAGGTACCTGCATACCTGCTATTATTTAACCACATCACTGTTAAAACCACCAGATTTCACTACAACAGCAGAAACTAGAAACAGATCTAATGTTTTCTCCACATAATGCTTCAAATTGTGAGAAAAAGCAGTTTGTAAATCTGAAATGAACCAGCTGTGTCTATCAATATAAAACCAGCTGACCAACTCAGCAGCGTTTTCACTCACCAGAGGTGTAGAAATCCACAGGACGTTGAACCATGTAGCAGCACAGAGCATGGAATGTACCATGTTTGGGGGCTTGTCCAGGATGCTTTTCCACCGCCACCCTCTGAGCTAAGCTTCTATTGACTGTAGGCAAAGTAGGATAATGAGTTCAGACCTCAGGAGGTTGTTTTTTTCCAGCTCAGCCTGGTTTGTTATGTGATAAAATGTATTTTCAAAGAAACATGAAGGTTTTAACTCTGTTGTTTCCCCACAGAAACCAACATTACCTGCAGAAGAAACTAGTTTACGATGATGCTGCTGCCGTTGGCTGAGCTGGAGCTGAAGGCGACCAGATGCTGACGGATGTTGGAGTTTGTTTTTTAAGAACTATTTGATTATTTGCGCTTGAAGTGAACTTTAACTTTCAATTTAGTTTCATGTTTTTTTTATTATGAAACGTTGACTTCGAGGAATATTTGTGTTTCTAATCTTTGATCGTTCCTGAGTTCCTCCCTCTCATAAGCTTAGCTTCATCTTCAGCTTGAGTTTCAGTGTTTCTGGGTTTATCCCGGCTTTCTGGTTTCCACTTTGCTGATGAAACCCAGCAGTGTTTCTCCCCCTGGTGCCTTCACTGCTCTCTTAGATCTTTTGGGATATTATATGAAAACCAAAAACCTGCTATTTTATTTCTTCTGCAAACTGTTCATCAATGTTTACATTTCTCTATCAGAGGAAGATCTGAACTCTGACTCCATAAAAGGATGAGTGTAGTTTGTTTTTGTCTTTTCAGAGACTATTGTCCCTTAGAACCAGTTGGCCCTAAAGTCTTTCTATAGCTTCATGAATGTTTAGGTTTATTCTGGATCTGTATCATCTTGATCCTCAAGATCTGATGGTTTATCCAAGAAACGACTTTAACTGCTTCAGTGAGAGAAAAGCCTCTGAGTAAAAATGTATCTAACACCATAACAAGCTTTTCTCAGACCTCTGCGGACAGTTTGACGGTATTGGTTAGATTCTGGAAAGTACCACCTGGTTCACAGAGGGCGTGTCCTCAGAGGGCTTGGTCACAGATTTCCCAAAAAAGTTGGCGCACCCCGCATGGCTCTCCTTCAAGGATTTCTGAATGTAACGTTTCGGTCGTTATGACCTTCATCAGACACACGATTCGGACTGGAAATGACGTTTTTCTGAAGAGGAAGTATCTTGATGTGATTGAGTTAAATGCAGATGATGATTCCAGGATGTTTTTCTACTTTCTCTACTTGTTGTGTTTTGTTCTGAATGAACCTGCAGGTTTAGATCCTTCCATTGTCACCTGATGGTTCAATGTTTTTGTGCTGTTTAGAGATTCCAGGTGTTACCTGCATCCCTTCCTGAATTAGTTGGGTGTTTTCTAATGTTTAAATATTGATGTTTCCGTGATTTCAATCCTGTTTTCATGGCTCACCTCTGTGCAGACTTACTGTAGGCATGGGAGGTGGACTTGTCAAACTTTTCTAAAATAAAATGCTGACTTTCTATTACAGCATTAGGTGGTGTTTGTTTGTTAAACAGCTAAAATGCTTGAAACCAGGACATGTATAGATTATAAAGATCAAAGGCTGCTGTTGTCTAGAAGAATGGGACCAAACTGACAGGTAGCAGGTTTACAGCTCATCGCCATGACAACCTGATGACGGCGCAAGTAAAACTTTAAATGACCAAAACATGCATGGATGGATGAATGGATGATGGATGGATGGATGGTGGATTGCGGATGGATGGATGGTGGATGGGTGGATGATGGATGGATAAAGGATGGATGGATGGTGGATGGATGGATGAAGGATGGATGGAGGGATGGTGGATGGATGAAGGATGGATGGCTGGATGGATGATGGATGGATGGATGGATGAAGGATGGGTGGAGTGACGGTGGATGGATGAAGGATGGATGGATGATGGATGGATAAAGGACGGATGAATGATGGATGGATGGATGATGGATGAAGGATGGATGGTTGGATGGATGGATGAAGGATGGATGGATGGATGGATGATGGATGGATGAAGGATGGATGGATGGATGAAGGATGGATGGATGAAGGATGGATGGATGGATGAAGGATGGATGGATG